ACAGGAAGCCCCTGCCCCGGGCTTCCTGGAATCAGCCGCTGATCAGTTTCAGCAGCAGCTGACTTGGGGATGCCTGGGGTTCTTAAGTTGAATTTGTATGTAAGTCAGAACTGGCGCCCAGATTCAGCCACTGTTGAAGCTGATCAGTTTCAGCAGCGGCTGAATCTGGACGCCAGTTCCGACTTACATACAGATTCAACTTAAGAACAAACCTACAGTCCCTATCTTGTACGTAACCCGGGGACTGCCTGTATATATATATATATATACAAGTAAAATACAAGACCCTAGGGGGGGCATAATTAATAACCATCTTAGATGAAAGTGATGGCTCCAGTGTGCCCATGCGAAAAATCATTAACTCCAGTTGTCATAACTACTTCATTGCTGCCTAATATGTTAGTGAGTTGGGGCAAAATGTGATTCTATGTCCCTTTAAAGTGGTACTTAAGACTGTGACAGTTTAGTTGCATTCCACTGCAAGGAGGTCTTGCAGTGACATGAGATTAGTACTGTGTGTCTTGCTGTAGCTGAGTGCTGGGATAGGGGAAGGAGTCCAAATCTCTTTTATTGGTAGAGGTGGTTTTAATTGATCTTTATGGGGATTTTTTTTATTGCGTGGGCCCCAGCCCTCCAGTGTGCTCCACGTAGCATAAGACCCTACCCACACACAGCTCTCGTTGCAGCATTGGGACTTGAGATTTTAAGTAACTTTCAAAGAGTTGTGTTTCAGTCTAAGCCAAGAGTGTGTATGAATACACACACCGGAAATTGTAGGATTTAATGTCTTACACATCATCCAGTCAGATGGCTTCAGTCATTTTTCCACACTCCATTTAGCTAAGAATGGGATATCTAACCAAACAGCAAAGAGGCTCTAGCATAATATTTGAAATATTTTGTGAGGATTTCTGCCTTAGGTATAATTGGATCAGTCTAGAATTGGAGGACTGTGGTAGGATCATCTAATGAATCAATATCTTAAGTCTCGAGGACTCCCACAATTTTTGAACATGACTCTTCTTAAAAGACAGCTCCTTTAAACACAAAAATATCCAGAGCAATCTTTTGTGTCCCATGTGCAGCTACTTTGGAACACATATTTCAACAGAAGCTGTAATGTAATAACTACAGCTCACACAACAAACAAGAGGCAAACACAGGAGGACTGTGAAATTCTCTAAATTAGGCTAAGAGCTCAAACTCATCTAGTGATCTTCTAGTCTGATCTCCTGAATAACAGAGGTTATAGAACTTCCCAAAAATAATTCTCAGAGCATATCTTTTAGAAAAGCAGCCAATCTGGATTTGAAAATTGTCAGTGGTGTAGAATCCACCATGGCCCATGGTAAATTGTTTCAATTATTAATTACTTTTACCACTAAAAATGTATGAAATTCCAAATTCAGGCCTCAATTTGTCTAGCTTCAACTTCCAGACATTGGATTGTGTTATACTTTTCTCTTTTAAATTAGTGAATCCATTATTAAATATTTGTTTCCCATGTAGCTGTTTTTAGAATGAAATCAAGTCATTCCTAAACTGTCTCTTTGTTAAGGTAAATATATTGAGTTTCTTCAGTCTGTCATCATAAGGCTCATTTTCTAATACTCTAAGGTTTCAACCTTGTGTTGCTTTTTAAATCTAGCTGTCCAAAACATTCATTTCCATCTATATAAGCTATAAAATATCAGTCAAGCCCATAAATCCATTAAAAGAGGATTGAGAAATTTATATTTTGGACTGTGGCCTTCCCATCCCTTTTTATTCTACACTATTTTGATTTATTTTGCATTTTGCACAATGGACCCCAAAGAGACTTCGACTTAATTCAGTAAGATTTTACAAGGAACTTACTATATTCTTACTATATTCTCTTGCAATTAGTAACTAACATCCTCTTAAAAAAATCATATGCAAGTTACTAGAGCAATTTATAGAAATGCAAGTGAATTACAGGTGAACGTATTTATTGCACAGAAGAGCTCTTTGAACTAGAACTATATGGATTAATCACTAGGGGAACATATATGGAAGTGGACAAAATATTCTTTTTT